TCTATATAATGCATATCAATACAGATAATGGCTGTTTTCACTTGATTTTCATTAATATAACTGATTTACAAAGTTGTCCATAATACAGTTGTTTCTGACAATCAGTGACCCAACACCAATACCAGCACCCAATGTCACCTTTTTCCACCAATGTCCTCAGTTCCATCCCAGTTCCCCCAAGCCTCTCACCTTAGCAGGCACAAACAAATTTGCTTCATATTACTTGTTACCAAAAAAGGGGGGGGGGCAAGTAGAATTATCAAAAAATAGATGGATGAAAGTCAATTTGTGATAACTGCTATATCTGACAGTGGAGTTGCTGATCATTGTCTGAGAACTTTCTGAGGTGGCTGGTGCTAGTTGAACCTTCTATGCTTTGCTTATTGAGCACAGTGGGCTTCTACATAACATTCCCATCAAATTTGCTGTGCTCCTACTAGGTTGTCAGTACCATGAAATCTGGAGGGAGCTATGGAGCCAGAATGATTTGATGGCTTGATGGCATTCATTTGTGAAGCTGGGCATATCTGTGCTGGAGAGTGTCGGTGTGGCTGGGTGCCACAGGGCCTTCAGATTACCCTTTCAAGGGAAATCTGCCAATCTCTGTTCTAAGGCCCCAGGGTTCTCAGCCCAGACCAGTCAACCTGAGATGATTCAGTGTCATCATTTTCTTTTCATTAGAACATCTAAATGTTCTACAGATGTTCTACAGTTCATCAGAACATCTAAATTTTCTACAAGAAATGGGTAGATTGAAAAAAATGTTGAAGTTAATACAGATTTTCATTTTGTTTACATAACATACACTTTGTTTTGTTTATATTTTACTGTATAGTGAATTATTAGGAAATGCAAACAAACATGCAAATGAATCTGAAAGTACATTTTCCAGTTTGTGATCATGTAGGTATCAATAACCTTACCAATGATTTTAACATAGAATAAATAGTAAAGTACAATCCCTTAGAAACGGTACCTTCATCATGTAAGATACCATTCAAAACTATTTCCTAACCAGCCCTTTCTCTTTTTCTTTTTGATGTCCCTTGTTTTCCTAAATTCCATCTTGTTTTTTTTTTCCTCTTCAGTCTGTCCATTTAGGAATTCTCCTTTTGGACATGACTCTGGGTGGTCTTCAGCACTGATCCTCCAAACCCCTTATCAGGAATTTCATTTTTAGTTTTATTTCGTATTGAAAAAAAAATTTTTTTAGTGAAAAGCTGTATGTATGTATGATCCCTTTGAGATCTTCCATAGAAAAGCTATGAATTTAACTGCTAGCCTAATACTAGGGGGATTCTGCTGGGGGGAAAAAAAAGGGAGAGAGAGAGAGACAGAGAGAGAGAGAGAGAGAGAGAGAGAGATTGATTTCAGCCCACTGGGGCCTTTCAATGAGTGTGGTCACTGCACAACCTGCCTTACTGTTGACGTTCAGTTCCTATTGAAATGTTCAAACAAGAATGCTTCCTGTTTGACCTCTTTTCCCACTGGAAACTATTACTCTAGCTGAAGTGGGCCAGAGGGAGTGAAAAGTCTGACCAGAAAAGATGGTAGAGGAAGTGAGTCAGTAAAGGAAACTTCATAGAGGGGAAAGGAAACTTCCAAAGTGATAAGACTTAAAAGTACCTGGGCCCAGGCAAAGGGAGGGGCATTCTCCAAACCCATGGATCCCTCTCCCCCGTGTTTCAGGCTCGTACCCTGAGACCTCTCTCCCCCACTCCGTCCATCTCCCAGCCTCTCGGGACATCCCTTACCTAGACAGAGGCCCCAGAGGCCAGGCACTCGTTCCTAAACAAAGCAGAAACCTGAGTTGGGTCCAACTCTCCAACCTTATCTGTCCCAGCTGTTTCCTCTCTCCTTTCTCAGGCCAGTTGAGAGTATTAACATAGTCCCAAGCAAAATTCCTTCATATCTCAGACTGCGCCTTTGACCTGGAAGTAAATGGCCATCTTTGCCACCAGAACTCCCACCCGACCTGAGATCCATCGTTTCCCAAAGCTTTCCCATCCCTGCTCCCTGGAACAGGTCCTCTCTCCTCTCAACTCCCACCTCATCCCACGCACACCTCAGGCCTCTCCTCAGGCTTCATTTAGGTATTTATGTGATCTTCCTTCCCTTCTAAGGTCTTCAACTCTTTGCAGAGCAAGGTTCCCAAGTCTTTCTCCAGGGTGTCTGGCAGATGGACTTCCCTTCCTACCGGGAATCAGATTTGGTTGGGATGGAAGTAAGAAGTCTCAGAAGGCTTCTTAGCATAAATTTCGCATTGCCTATTGCCTAAAGTAGAGGAATAAAAGCAGATGCATGAGTATTGGCTATTAGATGGGTGGATTTGTTGCTTCCAAGCACCTCTGCAGGGAGATGCAGTAAGCAGCTCATCGAGAGCCGAGCTTCTCCTCTCACTGGATGTCCCCAGGGAGCTGCTCCTTGGTGTCCAGTGCCCAGAGCAGGCATGCCTTAGGCAAGACTCCAGGGCTCCGAAGATCCTGTTTGGTGGTCTTCCTCTCACGAATGCAATTCTTTCCCTCACGTGCTTTATACACGGAACTGCCAGTGCTGTTTAGAAGTTTTCTAGTGCTCAGCTACACGTCATAGACACTCGGCTGACACTGCATGGAGGGAAGCACGTCTCTATTTCTCCCACCTCACTTTTCTGTGTGAATGAAGTCTAAATGTGTGAATTTTCCTCCTGCGGAGAAAGTAACTGCTCCTGCATCCTGGGCACAAATGGCTGCCAAAGCACTGTGCTCTGCGAGGAGGCTACGTCTGGAAACAGCCCAAACGGCCGGATATATGTGGCGCTGAACAAAGTGGAGTGCTCTGGAGCTGGGGGCTAACGCTCAGCTCCGAGAAAAGATGCGCCGGGCCTTTGGCTGCAGCAGGGATGGAGCCGGAGTGGGTCACGTTGAGAGAAATAGTCAGAGGGAGAAGGACAAAGGCCGGATGATCTCATTCATCCACGGGGCAGAAAGAAGCCAAGCAGGGCCAGGACAGTGGCCAATGAAAACAAACCCTGGGGCTCGGAGGGCAGAACGGGGGTCACCCAGGAGGGACAGTGGCTGGGGAGGGAGGGGGCGGGCACGCAGTGACATGAGGACAGCCGTGGAAGGCTTCTGGCATGCTGGCGGGGAGTGCAGTGACTTTGTACATCAAGAACGCTAACACTGTTGTAAATCAGGTTACCTCAAAAATAATAAAATTAAATCTAAAAACAAACACCAAATGGCTGCCAAGCAGAACCTGCAGCCGTGGTGTCCTTGGGGCCCCCGCAGGTCTCACAGGCTGTAGCAGAGCAGCCCCTGGCCCTGACGTGGGCGCTTCCCCTTCCCTCGGCACCGGGTCCCCAAACGTCTCTAGAGCCTGTGGAATTTGCAAGGAAAATAGAGCTGAGCTTGACCTGAGGTACCATGCCTCATCATCATCATCATCATCATTATTATTATTATTATTTGTCATTTCCAGCTACCAGTCTCTCCAAAGAAAACAACTCTCTTGTCGCTTTTGGTTCTGTGTGTGCCCTGAGCTTTATTCCCAATTGCCGCTACAAAAACAAAAGAAAAAGCCTGAAGTGGTTCCAAACACTGCTATTGTTTTTTCTTTTTTCCTCTTTTCCCCCAGTAAGGAATATTTAAACATCAAAGATACTTTCATGTTGCACAGTGCAGAGAAGAACACGTTTCCCTGGAGGCTTGGCCATCTAGGACATTTTCGCGACGCTGTCAGGATCCGCATCGCTTTCCCGTTCCACAGCCCGAGTTAGGGTCAGAGTGAAAGCAGGGAATAAAGTTAAGAGCTTTTCTTTTAATATTTTATTAAGGCACTTAAAGCAATTCTCTTTAATCTTCACCAGATAGCTTGCTGTAGTGGTCAGTGGTGACCTTGGGAAATTTGCCAGCAGAAAGACTATAAGGGCTCCTCCCGACGCTGAAACTGAAAAGTAATCTTTCTCCCACAAGACATTAGCTTTAATGGTAATCCCCGTGTAAATGACTGTGTCTATTTTAAGGGCTTATCGTGATCACTTTTCTAGACCGTTTCCAAAGTTTTATTTATTCTGTTAATTGGGGAACTGATGCACAAGTCTTCAACTAGCTCTTCCCCAAAAAATACATATATTGTGAATAAAAATATTTGTGGGTCATAAATGTTTTCCTAAGATGTTAGCTTATTATCTCCATATTTATTTATAATATGAAGATGTTTATTTTCATTTAAACGCGTTTCTTAAAGAAGCCATAATTGTTGCTTTGGAATTTCTATTTCGACTTTTTTTTCTGAGTTGCAGTTGGTTGGAAGGAGTTGGATATGGGAGAATTTGATGGCCGTGAAAGACTTTCACCTGTCACAGAGCGTGACAATTCTACCCATATAAATAGGAGTATTATCAATCAGGAAACTTACTTGGTAAAAGTGACAGTAAATACATACTGGGGAAAGAATGGAAAGGGACATTTTCTCTTATGTTCAAAATGGTGAAGGTATTTCTAATTCTACAGCTGTAATCTCAAAATGAGAGCGTATTAAATGAACTGCATCCTCAAATTGCCGTCTTATTCTTTATCAAAAGAGAAAATAAGGAATGACAATTAGGGTCAGAAAATTCTGCCACCAACCAAATTTAGCCTTAATTACTGTCTCGCCATGAGAAGGCATCAACTCTCTGCCAAGACCAAGCTTCTTTGATCTCACATTTCAACCCTCTTGTCCTCCAGATGAATGAAGCAGTTTTGCTGAAATGTTCAACAGGCTTTTCCCCATTTGATAGGACAATTATTTTTAAGAAGGTTTAAAATGTGATCTGGAAAACCACATCGACTCTATGTGGCATATTTGCTATTCTTAGCCCGGTTGAATAAGCTGGAAGTAGATGAATAATGCAGGTTAGAAAGAAAACAGATGCTGAATATTACCAATACGAAGGTTTTCCAGCCGTGGGACTTTTCATTTCAGGATGGGATTTTTGTTGGCACTGTTGGCATTATGACGATTGTTTTTCTCTCCAGCTGTTACACATCTGTATCGAAGGTTGGGGCAATTGGCGCTGGTCGGAGCCCTTCAGCCTGGACCAGGCCGGGACTTTCATCCGGACGATTCAGTACAAGGGCCGAACCGCCTCACTCATCATCAAGGTGCGGCCGCTCAGCGGGGTGCAAAAACAGGTACGTTCCCAGCCCGGACCACTAGTAATTCCCAGATGTCACAAGTGGAAGGACAGTGCAAAGGGATGAAACTCATTTAGAAAATATCGCAGTGGTGCCCCTCCCCGTTACACACAGGAGCACCTGCTTAGTGCTGGGACAATGAGGAGGAGGAGGAGGAAGGAAGATGGCCTCCGGCCCCTGTCCCCTTTCACGAGAGCTGCTAACGAGCAGTAAAATTTACTGATTTTCGTCTCACCTCTTCCCCTGTCACCACCTACCTTCTGCTGGAGGTGCTAATGGGCTGTGAAATGGCCAGAAGGCCTTCACTGAGCAGAAGAAGGAGCCAAGTTGGGGGTCTGGGATCCCCCACCCCTGGCCAAGCTGGCGGGGATGCTGAAGGCTGTGTGCCTCACCTGGGAGGAAAGGAAAGGGACGGGTCCCAGCCAGGAGGGCCGAGGGCGCAGGCCGGCTGGGCCTCTCCTAGGAGTTAATATTAACGGCAATAAAAATTCACTGCAGTCTGAGTCTTGGCATATAAAACCTCAGCTCTCAGCACATATTTTTATGTATTTTATAAAACTTCCTTTTGGCTGTTTTTGAAGTTCTAAGATGGCAAAAAGCAGGGGGGAAATATCTGACACTTTTGTGTGTGTGTTCTTAAGATGTGAAAATGTGGTTTTTAAAGGATGGAGCGTATGACAAGAGTAGAAAGGAGGCGAGGGGAGACGGAAGTATTAAAATCTGAAAGCCGACTTCCCAGCACACATAATCATGGGATCCCGCTAAGAGTCTGAACACACACATCTGCATCTGGATCAGAACTGTCTCGCCAGGGCTTATGGGAAGGCAGGACCTAGTGGAAAGGGAGCGTTCTGTGCCTAGAGCCCCAGTGCGGGCCGGAAGCTGCTGCTGCTGCTGCAGGAAGGACCCCAGTCATGTCCTTCCCCACGGGACCTTGCCAGGGAGCCGGCCCAGGTGGGCGCCTTCCTGTGGGCAGTAGTGAAAAGAGCCGAGGCCAGGAAATCTCCACCAAACAGCATGGCCCCTGCTGTGTCTTCACAGGCCTGACCGTTACCGATGGCTCACAGTGGCAGGGCACGGTGACAAAGTCTGCATCAGAGTCACGCAGTGCTGTAGACCCAACTGGGAGCATCGCTGGCAGTGTGAAAGGACTCAGGGTGTTCATAAGAAGGGAGGACTTAGTGGCAGAGATACAGGAGGAGAAGAGGGTGGGGAGTAGAGGACTGCCTCACTCTGAGCACGTTGAGCTGGAGCAAGAAGTGTCACCAGCCTCCGCCCGAACTTGGACTCTGACACAGATATGTTCTTCCCAGTGTCTGCCCACTGGTCCACACCAGTTTTCTGACTCTACCGTGAAGGGGGCAGTGGGGGCAGGAGAGGGGGGCTCTTTCAAGCATGCCTTGTGCCTCTTTCTGTTCCCCAGAATGTCTGGCCAGTGGCCAGGCAGCATCTGTGTGAGGACTTCCGGTGAGGAGCCGCTCCCACACAGCAGCCCTCTCCAGCCCGCAGCCAAGTTCTTCTCTAGCTTTGGACACCCTGTAGTGAGCCTCAACTGTTCCTTGGGGCTTAGGAGGTGCACAGGGAACTCTTTGGGAGGACTCCTCAGGTCCCCTCTGTTCTCTGCGCCTGCCCTCCAGAAGCTTCGCGGGAGCTGCCTGTGTTTCACCCTTTACTTTCCCGCTGCTAGCGAGAGACTCACACTGGCGCTCAGAAGCTCCAGGGGACTTTTGAAAACAGCCGCTGCTGCCCCCAGCCTTAGGTCCAAACCCAGTAGGTCAGAGGCCCGTGTAATTGCTTGTGTGTCCAGCAGTCGTGAGGTGGTGCTGATGCTGTGGGTCACTGGGACCCTGCTCTGGGTGTCATGGCTCTGAGCTCAGCATCCTGGTTGATTCAGCATTTTTGCAGAGTCGCTACAAGAGCCAGCAGCGGAAGGACTGATTGGGATGTTATAGTTTTGCTTTTGCTCAGGGCCCACACCCAGCAGCTCAGTGCTTGGGAGGCATTCCCAGCCATGTTCCTTCCAGGAGCCAGGTGGTACCAGGGATCCAACCCCACGCTCCACATGCGAGGCAGGCACTCCTGCTCCAGTCTGGTGCACCAGCCGTCACTTGAGAAATGATTTCCGTGGCCTGGCCTGGTGCTGAACATAGGCCACCCCGCCTTGATCTCCAGCCGGTGATTCATCCTCATTGAGTGACTCAGTTTCCTCTTCTGAATGAAGAGGGGCGTAATAGTAAGTAAGTAATAGTGCCTTCCTCACTAAGTTAGAATGAAGGTTAAATGAGGTTTCGTTTGTTTGTGGGTCACACCCAGCAGTGCCCAGGGCTTTACTTCTGACCCTGCTCAGAGATCGGTCCCTCCTGGCTAGGCTCAGGGGGTCATAGGGAGTGCTGGGAATCAAATCCAGATTGGCCGCGTGCAAAGCAATTGCCTTTCCCCCTGAACTGTCACCCTGGCCCTAGAGTTGAATGAGTTTATGTGTGCAGAGTACTTGCAGTGCTGCCTCCATCCTGCCATAACCCAGCAGACTGTAATTACAGCTAGAATCATGAAAATTATGTCAGAAATAGACAGTCTAATGAAAACCCAAAACTGCCCCCTATTTCGACTACCCAAAGACACGTGACCATGTTTACTGCGGGGACTCCTTCTCTGCAGGCCGATTTCTCTGGATATTTTCTTCCCCCTGTTGCTGTGTCTATGATGTGGAGGCCGAGACTCGACCCTAGGGTTCACACCCACTGTCCTCCATGCTCTCGCCTCAGCACCCCAGGCCACCGTGGCAGGGGTCGGCGCTCAGGTCTGACCAGAACCCTGATGGCCACCGCAGGTTCCTAACTTCTTTCTTTTTTTTTTTTAAATTTTAATTCTAATGTACTGTGAAGTACAGTTACAGACTTAAAACTTTCGTGATTATGTTCCAGTCATCACTGATCGAGTAACCATCCCTCCACCAGTGCCCTTTCTCCACCACCAGTGATCCCAGTATCCCACCCACCCTCCCACCCACCTCCACCCCCACCTCTGTTGCAGGTACATTCCCTTTTACTCTGTCTCTCCTTTTGGGTGTTATGGTTTGCAATACGGGTACTAAGTGGCCGTCATGTTCAGTCCATAGTCTACTTTCAGCACACATCTCCCATCCTGAGCAAGCCCTTCAAGCATCACTTACTTGGTTGTCCCTTCTCTATCTCAGTTGCCTTTTTCCCCAGCATGTGAGGCTGGCTTCCAAAACATGGAGCAACCTCCTGGCCCTTATCTCTACTATCCTTGGGTGTTAGTCTCCCATTCTGTTACTTTGAATCCATAAGGTACATTGAAGAAATGGTCAGCAAAACCCTCCACCACATTGAAGCTAAAGGTATCTTCAAAGATAAAACACCACTGACCAAGCAAGTGGAAACAGAGATAAACAAATGGGACAATCCTAACTTATTTCTAACTGATTTCTTCCACTCAGCGGTTCCCTTCCTCTTCTCCTGATGGCTGCAGACCCTCCAGGCAGTCTGTTCCGGCCCAGGGACACGGGCCCTGTTGGTGAACCTTCAGATAATTTCCAAAGTGTTGCCAATTAAATCCTTCAGTAATCATCTTTCTCTGTGTGTATGTGGCCAAAGGCCTGTATGTCTTTAAAAGGATTAGCCATAAAATTCAATTATCAGAGCTGGAGAGATAGTACATCAGGGTACGGTATTTGCCTTGCACAAGGCAGACCCAGGTATGAGCCCTGGCATCCCATACGGCTCCCCAACCCCTGTGAGGAGTGATCCCTGAGCACAGAGCCAGAAGGAAGCCCTGAGCACCACCAGGTGTGACCCCAAAACCATAAAAATAATTTTTTTTAATCCATAAGATCTGAGTGATTTTTTTTTGGTGTTTGACACATAATCTACGATTAAGATTAAGACTTCAGATCTTCAGAATTTCTTGTAATCAGATAAATCTGTGCTTCATAGTGAGCCGCCTTCAAGATCTAACAGAGTGGGGTGAGACGTGGGGGACAGAAGCAGTGGGAAGAATGAAAGGAGGGCTGGGGAGAGAGTGCGGCGGGCAGGGCACTTGCCTTGCATGCAGCCAGCCCGGTTAGTCCCTGGAACTCATACTGTCCCCTGAGCCAGGAGTCAGCCCTGAGCACTGCTGTGTGACCAGAAGCAAACACAACGTGCCAATGAAAGTGTCTCCTACGAGACCCACGTGGCATCAGGTCAGAATAGCCTCAGATTAACTGCTGCGTGTATCGAAGCTGTGAAGGACCTTTCTGGTCAGTGGTTTTGGGTATGAAGGGGTGATGGGAGAAATTTGGGTTTGGGGGCTATACCAGATGGTGTTGGGGGGTCACTCTTAGCAGTGCTCTGGGCACCAGGAAGCACACAGGGACCAAGCAGCTCCTCTCATGTCTCTTCATTCTCTCCTCCTTCCTTCTTTCCTTCCTCCTTCCTCCTTCCTTCTTTCCTTCCTCCTTCCTTCCTTTTCTTCCTTCCTTCTTCCTCCTTCATACCTTCCTTCCTCCTTCCTTCCTTTTCTTCCTCCTTCGTACCTTCCTTCCTCCTTCCTTCCTCCTTTCTCCTTTCCTTCCTTCCTCCTTCCCCCTTCCTTCCTCCTTTCCTTCCTTCCTTTCTCCCTCCCTCCTTTCCTTCCATTTGATTATCTATACTCTGCCTTTCTTAGACCTCATTCCCCAAACTGAATGGAAATTGGCCACTTACAAATTTCTCAAGAACTTTGTGCATCGTCCAGCTCTCAAGCCCTCATCGTCCTGTCTCTGCGGAGAGCATCACCCCTAACCAACCAAACTTAACCCGTACATTTGTCTGCACACATGCATGTGTGTACCCATGCAAGTATCTTCATGCAGATACTTCTAATCATGGTTCTAGTATCATTTTCCAGTACATCTGGAACGCTGGCAGAGTGCTGTGATATCACTGTTCTCCTTGGCCCCGCACTAGCAACAGTTCTGAACCTGCTAAGGAAAATCGTATGTGGAAATCTTCAAT